AAAAAAAAAAGAAATGATCATTGATAAAAAAAGAAAAGAAAGAAAGATCAAGGAATGAGAGAAAACGTGATACAGAGTCTCCATTTAACTACCTTGTGTGAAGATCATAGTGAAGTCAAGAAGAACACATCACTGAAATTCACTGGGAATATCTCGACGCGACCAATATTGTTTTGGAAGCTGCTGGTGTTTTGCTGATCCCTAGGGATGTTGAGGGATCTCCCGCGTCGCTAGAAACACGGGACCTGCGGGGTGTCTTATTTGCTGCGTGTTTATCAGGGGCACTTTGCTCGACAATATCCGAGCGCCATATTGGTTGTTGCAAGAGGGCTGGAAAATTAGGAGATTTGTTTTGCTCTATCATTTTTTCTCGACCGCATATTACGCCAGAGTGAACGGGGCCGAATCGTTCACCACTCGCAAAGGATTCGAACAAATTGCTCGGTCTCAACGCGTCTATCAGTATTTCGAACAAGTCAAATTTCCTCCGGATACAGAGCTCTTACATTGAAACTGAAAAGGTTGCAACATTCAGGGAATTTGAGTGCTGTGCGGAGGTGTATCTTTTCGCCGTCCATTGTTGGAAGATAGAAGATAATTTGCATCATTTTTGTGGGGTCCACCACCGTCTCGATCGATGTATCGACAGTGAAAGAATGAATAATGTCATCTATGTCTTTGTTTATCGCCTCAAGCTGATTGTGCAGAAAGGTTAGAGAGCCGGTTGTTTTGGACTAATAGTATAGTTGACAACTTGCGATTCCACTAAACGTACTAATGAATTAGTTTGCACCGTAGTGAAGGAAATATTTTTTGGAATTAGCGCAGTTTTGCTTCGTGTTCAGAATAAATTGCGTTCCATTGAAAAACACAGCTCGATTGGCCAACGTAAATGTAGATGGAGCCACTTGTGTTAAAAGCTAAGTAACACGCAGGGTTTGGAATTTCTTCAGCATGTTGAAAGGGTGTCTGTTCTATTCGCTCGTCTCCACGAACCTGTTTGGCCGATTGCAAGTCGACTGATGGGTTTAGGGTCGCTGTTGTTTTAATCGTTTCTTATGCGCTTTAGCGTTGGTGTTTTTTCTTCCAGGGTGACCCACCGCCAGGGTTGACTTTACAGCAAGCGATGGATCCGGCTGAAAATCAGGATGGTAAGTTAGTTTGGGTGTAAAAATCGTCTTTCTTTATCATCGAAGACTGATTTTCAGTGTTGTTCTAAGCTGCTGAATAGCTTGGAATTGCTGTGTATTGAATTTGTCAATTTTGAAGATGTTTTTCCATTGCACGGATTATCCGCACTCGGGTTACGTTCAATTCCTCTTTTGTGGACATACTTTCATCGTTTCTCAACACTGGACTGTACAATTCACTCTTATTTCGCTCGAAGAGCCGTTCATATTATCCCCAATGTAGAATTGGCCTGGTTTGACGAACAATATCTTCCGCTGCAATTACTCTGAATTTAATTTGCAGTTATATCCTAGAAAAGCTCTTTTCTGTCCATAAGCCAACCTGTCATCGGTGGAAGAAAATTACACTTTGTCTTTCGAATCGTTTTCTCATTTCGTATTTTATTAGGCTGGGATAGACGCATTGTTATCGATTTTTGAATATCTTGCTCACTGGTAATTGGCGAAGTGGTTATTTGGAGAAATACAATGGACACTCAGGCTATCAATAAGTGTTTTTAACACCTATTTTTTCGAACGATTTTATCGTTTGTTTTGTGGACTGTTCTTTTCACAGCTTGATCAACGTGATCGATTTAATATTCAATTTGTCCTCATTTCCATTCTAGTTCCAGCTACACAAAGAAACTAATATAGGTTTGATTCCATGTTTTTCTATGCACTAGGGTCTTGTTCTTTTAAATGGGTTATTTCTTGGAAATTTTAAGAATTTGTTTAAGTAGTTACTTTGTTAAGGAATTTAAAGTGGCTGTTCTGAAAGTCTTTTTTAAAAGTAAGAATTACTTTATGTTGTGGAAAAATAAAATTTTTGTCGTGTTTCCATGGTGATGGTTTAACATGACTTCCTTGGGACACATGTTTATGCATATTTGCACAAATGGTGTCATTTTGTTGATTTTTACATATCGATCTTCTGAGACGCTAAGTATTTTGTTTTGATTGTTACTGGTAATTTTTTCTAAATTTGCATTTTATTATTAGTCATAATACAATTGCAATATCTAAGATTTTTTTTTTTAAGTTCTGCTGGGGTAATTTGTTTGATAAATGGTGTTTTGTAACATTGTTTTATCAAAAAAACCTTTCATTTGTCATTTTATCACTTATCCTTCTTCCTTGATTTGATGACATGCCCTAAATAAATGCTGGGTCTAGGTCGGTCTGTGATCATATGATGTTTATTCAAGGAACCAAGGTTAAATTAAATTCTTTTGTAACTGCCCCTCTTTAACTTAGCTCTTATTATGGTAACTGAGCAGGAGGTCTTTTGGGAGAATCTTGACCAAGGTCGTGAGTACAGACCGAGGTCAAGATTCTCCCATACAGACCGACTAAGCTTGGTTAATAAGATGTTTATTATACGGCAAACAAGAACAATTTAATTCGTTTAATGTAACTGGTTTGTACTAACTGACATTTTGCTTGCGAACAGCGATGAGCTGAAATTAATTCTGCCAAAGTTTGCTCATTCTCTTTAGTTTTTTTTTTTCTCATAAGGTTTTTTGGGACTTCCTTAGATAAATATTGTCTGTAGAAAATAGTCAATATTTTTACATTCTAGTGTGCAACTTTTTAGCTGCACAACATTACTGGTCTAGATGCCAGTGTAGATGGGAAAATCTAGACCACTTTCAATATCGATTTCAGCCAATCAAATTTGTGAATTCGGTAGTTCCCAGTCCTTGTGAGACACAGCCACATAATAATGATTCTTATTAATCAGTGGTACTATTGATAATTTTTATATACCAAGTAAACCCATGAACCAGCATGGTATACTTGGTACGTGTATACCAAATGACTGGCTAATTTACATTAGGCTTTTAAACGGGCCTATCTGTAAGACAGCTAAAGAAGTCAGTGTACCACACTGACTTTGACTGATTTTTGTGTCTTAAATCAGGATATGTGTGGTGCAAAATGCTGTAAAGTAGCATATTTATAACTTGTGCTTTCAGTAATACAGAGTTTTCATTAACATTTTCAGTAGTAGGGCAACTGGTTTTCACAGGCGGGCAAAACTTTTTGAACTGAACTTTGTTGTAAGACAACTTTTCTCTAGAAGGTCAAACTAGGCAGGCAAAGTCTTCCTCACAGCTAGTCAATTTGCCTGGTGCCTGGGCCTTAATAGAACCAACCCTCCAAGTTGCGACCATTTTAGGCACCATGCGACTAGAATTTTGGAGCTGGCGACTAAATTAGAATGCAAGTCGCCAGCTCGGCGACTAAAATTAACGTGACCTATGCGTCAGGAGCTTGAGCGGACTATCATCTGGAGCGAAAAGAAAAACGTTCTGAGCATTAAGAATTTACTTTGCAAAGCTAGTTGTTGTGGGATTTTAAC